ATTAGAAACACAACTGAAACTTCTGCTTTTTGAATAGGAATTTCATGTTAAAGCAGAAATGTGCCGTACTGTCAAATTAGTTTAAAATAATAAATAAATCATTGCTACACACGAGTTGGAAATAGAAGCACCCAGTGAGGAAAAGCCAAATCAACACCAAGCAATTGCTACGCAGTTACATGTTATGTGTGCCGACACTTCCCCCCTCCTCTCTCTCTCTCTCCAGTCTTCCTTCATGTTGGAGAACAGCATCTGTTTCAGCTCAAGCACTGACCACGCATGCTGCACGGGGACACAGGGAAGATACGTTATGACCTCAACATACTTTTCCTCATCGTATATCAGCCTTCAGGCCAGTGCAGCCATCCCTGGAATGCACCACGTTCTGCAGAGCGTTTCCATTTTCCTTCCCCTGCTACTGCAAAAGGAAACAACGTTCTGCTGGTTTAGTCATCAGATCACATTTATCCCTTCTATAGCCTTAAGGATTTTATTGAATTTTGGATCAATGGGGTTTTGTGCCTGGATCCCACAGTGCTAACAAGTAGTGAGCTCACTCACTCGCTTTCACACGTACACAGAGATTTAAACTGATGCTGTTCGGCACAGCTCCAAGTACACCTGCTCCTTCTCTCATTCTGTCACTTGGCAAAAAACTACTAAAAAAGAAAAAAAAAAACAAAAATAATGCAATGGTTCATGTACATGGAAAACGGCAGCATTAAACACTCATCTATTGTCCATTCTAAGGGAAGAGTCTCAACCAGCTAAATCACCAAGACCAGATGCAATATAAATCTGTTTCTAGCTCACCAAAGAGAAACAGAGATTTCAGTTTCAAAAGTATGCAAGCTGTTGAGGAGTCTTGTTTTTCAAGAACGCCTGAAGCTTAGACTGTGGGCCTGCCTCATGCTCATTTACAAAGCTCAAAACCATCAGGGTGACTAGCTGGTACGAGAAGAAAGTGGTCACAGGCTGGACAGCATTTAGCAATGCCAAGTGTGAGGCACGTATGACATGGCATGACTACAACTATATGTGGCTTTGGAACTAAAAAAAAATAAATAAAGCCAAAGAAATATATCTTAGTTTTCAGTGGGTTCAACAAATCAAGGAAAAGAGAATGAGTGACAACAACTACGGACACAGTTTGCGCAAGGGACCGTGACAACTTCTTGTTTTATATGTATGATCTTGTTAAACATATTCATGGCCCTAGCAGAGCATCGCTATGGTGAGCAAGGAGGTGTTGGCACTAATATTGCTTTTTAATAGGACATGAATATGTACACTGCACCATCATAGTGAAAGAATCGAAACTCTGGCCTTATCCCAAACAGCAGCACAAGCCTGACGGGAAAGGTCCTGTCTTCCTTTCTCCATTTGTGTTATATGGGAGGGCACATATGGCCACAAGCCTGTTTCGGATCTTAAGACGCAGGGAGATGGACCAAACTCATAAGAGATGCTAGTTTCCTCATTTCAGTAGTATATGCCATCAACCCCTAAAATTGCAATAAATCACAGTAATAAAACCTACAATTTCATCCAGACTAACTCATTCCTTACTCCTGAAGGCATCCAGGACTGCAACCCACACATTCACCAGATAGCTGAGGATAAGAGCAAGTGACAATAAAGAACAGAAATCTCTCTGCACCAAGAATTACATAACTAGCTCCAGTTACTGCTAATTAGACTGATCCCCTTAACTCCTCCATTACATTTTTCAGTTAGCTCTAGTAGCAAGACACATGATAAATTATTATTAAATAGAAACCTAATTGATCACATTACATGTACTTAAAAGTACAGATTAAGCAGTGCGCTACTATTTTATTCTAATGAAGACTTTACAGCTAGCAACCTGGTGCACTAGATAAGTTATCTGAAGCTACTTCACTGTGCCAAATCTGCCCTCTGACTTCAGAGTTTTTGAAATATTTAAAATCTTTTCCCCTCCCTTTTGCCATGGAAGAGATCTACATGAGTCAGAGAAACATTGATTACAGAGGAGAAATTGTATCATTAGTTTTGTATATCTGACAGCAACTTCCAATTTTTTTCCTTTTATCTTTTTTTTCAGCTATAACAAGGATTTACTTTTTTAGAAAAAAATAAAAAAGATGGACTATATTTTAGTAGAGCAATTGCCTTGAGTGCTTCCTACTTCATACCATATAATATGCCAATAGCACCGGAGAAAGACTGTGTACAGGAAGTATTTCAACTATTTTAATCTATGAGAAAAGTCAGCAAACGGAAGTAAGTGGAAGACTGCAGTCATACTCTCAGGTAGTAGTCCACAGGCCTTCAGGTGATGTGGACCTCATTTTGAGAATCAGTGAGCTGCAATACATTTAATCTTGCCATTCCATACTACTGCAAGCATGCTCCATGTGGTTGAGAATCGAGATCTCTTGAAATCACAAATGCTGTAGCAGCACGTTCATTCTTTATAGTGACAGGCAAACTTTTGACATTAGACAAGCAAGGCACTGGTCAAATTGTCCAGGCTCTAATAAGGCTGTCATTCCATGCAACAAGAAATTATTGGGCCTTATCCTGCCTACAGAGGTAACAGGAGCTCAGAGCAAGGGAAAAACCAGCAAAGAAGGTTGCCAACAACATTTTAGAGAAGTTTCTTGCAAAGCAACATCGATTAACCCATCCCAGGCTTTCCTCCAAGGCTCTCAGGCAAAACTTTCGCATAGATGTGTGGCAGCAGGCTTCCCTCTCAGCCACTGGGACCAAGCCAGCTCTACTTCAGGCATGCCACAGCGAGCCATCACACAACAGGTCGTTGCAAGTGTGTTGCACACAGTCCCTCACTTGAAAAGAGAACCTGAGCGGCTTACACCGCGAGAGCCCCTTTTTAAAAAGAAAGCAGCTAAGTACATGCAGAGCTTGATTTGCCATGTGCAGAAATCCGTTACAACACTTGAAGAGGCAGCTGCTGAAAAGCAAATGCCAGTTGGCAGCATAGACGAATTCCCTCTGAAGCCATCCCACGTGCATGGCCTCTCCAACACAACTCCTGCAGCCTCTCCTGAATAGGCTGGAAAACCAGAGGCTTTCCCCTCAGTGTAAGGAAGGGACGATCCCAAAAGCAGTGGCAGAAGGAGGGCATCTGGAAAAAGTGAAAAGCAAAAGTAGCAGTGAAAGGAGCAGGAGGAAAGAAGGAAGCAAGGAACAAGAAGATGGAGCAAGAAGGAGATATTTTTGATATTGATACCCTTCACCATAGTATCCATCAGAGAAAACAGAAACAAACACAAATATCAAAAAGCAAAAGCCTTGAAAAAAACGTGGAGAGAGCAAAGGCCGGGAATAGCAGCTGTATCAGCATCTGTGCTTAGGTTACTCTTCCCCACCAGGTCCTAAAGTTTAGAGGCAAGGTGTTAAAGAAGGCATTTGGAGAGCCCATTCTGGCCTGGCATATCAGAAGGAACTGGAGTCACCCACACTTTCTAACTGAGGATACAGCAGAAGAAATAAACTCAAAAGACAAACAAACAATCAATTTTAGAAGCTAGTCCCAATAGTCAGAAGAGTCTCAATGCTGGAGCAGCTGGCACTTACCCACTCTGAAAAGCCTTGACTTCCTCACCATTTTTGTGTGACACGTTCCCGCACGGAGAGAACACATGACCAAACCCATCCCTTTCCTTGCTAAAAGCAAAACCAAAAACCTAATCATCCCAAGTCAGACCAATCAGATAAAACACCTGCAGAGCAGAAGCTCTGGAGTGGGTTGAACCATTTAAACTACAGGCAGAGGAAACAGACTGAGATCTGAGAAGTTACAGATCTCATGTAACACTTATATGACATCAATACTGATGTAGCAAGAAGATTATTTAAAAACAAAAACAAAACCAAACAGCTCCTACTGAAGTGAATAATGAGGGGTGTTATGTGGGAATAAAACACTCCCTTTCCCAGGTTTCAGGAGTGCTGCATGGGTCCCGTTCAGGTGCCAACCATTAAATGATCAGAGAACTGCAGCAGGCAATTCCTGACCTGTTTAAGGAACAAAACGCTTTCTCCAAATAATAGGTAACGCAGAGCATTATTACAGGTCTTCAAATTAAATCATACTGTGAGTGTTTTGTAGTTAAAACCAAAAGTCAACAACAAAGGACAAGCTGGGCAAGGGCTACCAGGCAGACTGTACAAAAGTCAAGGTTAAAAACAAAAAAATCACCACACTCTGGCACAGATCCACGGGGCGGCTGCTGAGTCAGACCCCCTTAACGGCTCATACTAACTCAGTACTGTTCCACAGGAATAAGGGCACCAAGCGCTGGTGCCATGCCCTGAGTTACAGGAGTGCCCTTCCTTCCCCAGTGAGGTGCACACTGAACATGCTGAGAAGTGCTGGACACAATCAATGAAAATCCTTCTGCTACTGCCTGAGCCCGGCTCTCACCTTTACAGGCACATTCTTAACCATAAAGCAAAAGTGGGCACCACCTCTGCTTTCAGATATATACATAAATATGCATACACACACACACACATATATATACACACACACCCATGTGCAGCAATTATACCTATAGACATGTGTATATATAGATATCCAGCAATATCACATCGTGCCCTACTCATACTGCATTCACTTCACTCCAGGCATTATTGTGTACATGCATGTGCTTCCCCTCTTCATGTTCAAACCAGCACTACAGTTTAGGCTTTCTCCATGGAGAAGCTGAGGAGAGCATTGCCTACCAATATCATAATAGGATAGAAAGTTTCAGGACAAGGACAGTCCTCGGATATTCTTTTCTTCCCTAGCAGAAGAAATGCACTTTTGTAACTCCTCTTTTTATCCTCGACCTTCCTTCCACCTTCTCCTCTCTTCCCTCCCCAGTAGCGTTACACATTAGAGCACATTTCAGGACAAAAATGGCTAAAATACAATGAATGACTTGACATTGTAAGATAGCATCAGCTGCAAACCAAACCACAACAGAGCAGCAGGTAGCCAGCAGTACCTCTGAATGGCCCACATGGCTTTGCTGGGCACAGAAAGGCCACTGCTCTGCTGCTCCTCGGGTGACGATGGGTGGCAGGAGCTCCAGGTGCCCCGGTGAGCAAAGCGATGTTTCCCATTCTCCCGGCCGGCTGGAGGGACCTGCAGGGAGGCAGAGGGAGATGCCGCGAGCTGCCGGGCAGGTCTCTGGTGGATGCCTCCATTTCTCCTGATTACACATGCAGAGAAAAAGGAAAAAAGAGGGGAAAGGAGAAGAAAAGGACTTAAGATTTTTATTTTCAACATTTACTTATCAAAAGGTTGAACATTATGAAAACAGGACAACATGGTATCTAACTACAATAGATGACGTTTTATTTAATACAAAATACAGTCTTTGTGTGCTGGGAGGACAGGATTTATTGGTTCCTAACAAGATCTAGAGGAAGAGATCCAGCAGCAACAGAAGATAAGCACTCCGTATCAAGCTGTTGTCCGGATGGAAAACACAGCGAGGAAGAATATGGTGCCATTCCTAATTTTTTGCTGCAGAAAATAATTGGTATTCTGCCTCATTTGAACAGAAAATAAATCTGTACAGGTTGGAGGAAGGAGCAGAAGGAGATGAATTTTAGCAGCATGTAGAAGGCTGCTGGTTTTCTGCTATCTCCTAAAGAAGTCAAATACAGTCATAAAATTCTGAGCGCCACAGGCAGACAGAAAAGCGCACAATATATGCAACCAGAGCAAGTATGAAAATGTAGCACATCTGGACTACAGAGCTTCATTCCTGCAAGCTAAATAACTGCCACATCTGGGCAACTGGATGCCACTGAAACAAAGAAATAACCTGAAGCAGCCACTGGAATGTGAACCTATGGTAAGGGGGAGATTGAGGGGAGAGAGGAGGAGAAAGGCAGATTTTCCCCCAATTAATTAACATTTGTGCTACCTTTAGCCAGGCAGCCCCTGGAACGCGTCTGGCAGACTGAAAATGCAAGTGTTAACAGGCATGCTTGGCTGTCAGTCCTCAGTGAACTCCTCCCTGGCTACTTGCCCACCAGTTACACCACTATGAATTACTTATACAGACAAAACAGAAGAAATTCTCTGCCAATCCATCGTACCTTCCCTCTGATCGTTATTGCTGCCAGAGGGACCCAAGGGAGGGCAAGCAGGGTCTGAAACGTGGTCTACCTCCAATGAGTAGCTAGAGTAAGGGATGAAACGGGAGGGAAGCCATGATGCTCCTTAAAAAGGGGAGTCCCTCTCCTCCTCCCTGCATTTGCTGCTCTCACATCGTGCCAGCTCTGGCACTTCCCAAACCCTTCTGGGAGCAGATTTAATTCACTTCTGCAGAAACATGAATTCAGTGTCCTTTTTTATACCTTGGATACACTAGCTCACGCAGGGGTGTGACAGGCTCCAGAGCCTGTGGGGCAGCACTGGTGGGAACAGGGGAAGCGACAGGAAGCGCTCTCTACAATTACCTGAAAGGAAGTTGTAGGGAGATGGGGGTCGGTCTCTTCTCCCACGTTATGAATGACAGGGCGAGAGGGAACGGCCTCACGTTGCGCCAGGGGAAATTTAGGTTAGATATCAGGAAGAATTTCTTTACAGAGAGGGTTTTGAAGTATTGGAACAGGCTGCCCAGGGAGGTGGTGGAGTCCCCATCCCTGGAGGTGTTTAAAAACCCTGTGGATTTGGTGTTGAGCAATATGATTTAGGGACCCTGACAGTGCAGGGTGAATGGTTGGACTTGATGATGTTGAAGGTCTCTTCCAACCAGACGATTCTATGATTCTATGACAGCAGGAGCAAGACCTCACATTCTCAGTGGCAGTAAGCTCTTATGTTCACTCACATGTCGATAGTGATGTCACCTGCACCAGGTATGGTTTGGGAGAGAAGTGGATAAAAAGCAGCTTCTATCAAACAAAAGACTTTTGATTTTTAATGGACATACAGAATAGTATAGTTATCTGTGACACTAAGTGGGTAAGGGATACAAACTTCAGAGTATTTGATTTTTCTCCAGTGACTGCTCAGAGCTGCTAATTATTCCAATCATTCCAGAACTGGCTGGATATTTTCCCTCTTTTTCCATTCTGTAAGGAGAGAAAGGATCAAACATGATTTTACTACTGACCATCATATGGCATTTCTACAACTATGCCGTTGTGACTGAATAATCAAGCAGATGCTGCGAGTGGAAGGAGTTAAGCCAGGGAAATTTTAAGATGCTTTGGTCAGAAGTCCCACGGAAAAAATAAATGTTAGTCTCACCAGAGTGAATTGAGCCTTTTTGAGATCAGTTCTTCACATCTCGTCTATTTACCCAGCAAAAGTTATTAGGCAGCAATACAGTAACAAAAGAAAAAAAAATACAGAATGAAACCTTGGCACCTTCCAGATTTGTCAAATGTGTGCCACCTAATTCAGCGGGGCAAGTCCACCTTCCACAGTGCCATATATAATAATATATATTTTGCACACACAGGTGGCAACACTTGAAAAGCACAGCAAGCATAGCAAGTTACTTACAATTTGAGTCCATTGCAGGAGAGGGAAAAGAAGTCATAAACCAAGCACACACCAAACACAGTGACTCCAGTTTCTTTCACCAGCATTGCACACGTCCCAAGGAACAAACTAAGCAGCAAAAAGAACGGGGAGGCAGTGGGAGGGAAATGTTCCCCAACATAAAGCTGATCCACACTCCTGAAAAAAGAGATTTGACATATACATATTAACTTGTGTTATTTTCGTGTTTAGTACATTCACACAAATATTGAGACACTTTTCCTTAATTTCTTAAGATCCTGGCAATAAGCGACATGAACAATCTACACTGTTTTGCTGATAACTGAGGAAAGGTTTAGACACAGGACAGGAAGGGAAAACACAAATATTGAGAAGTGCACCAAGAATCTGAGCAGAGGAGGAGAAAAGCCAAGTGGACTTGAAACAGTCAGAGGAAGGCAGAGTAACTACAAAGACAGAAAGGGCAGAGAAACACCTGCTTTCCGTCATTTAGAACACACATGCTTATTTTTGCTTATGTGACAAAATGTCGTCATGCAAGCAAAAATTCCTCCATCCCACCCACATTTCCCTGGGTCAAAAACGTGTCATAATCATTAATAAACTGGGCAGTTAGCCCATATCAGAGGGAAGAAAGTAAGAAAGAACCAAAATCAAGAAATTCGATTCCTGCAGGGTCACTACCAGTTTTAGCCCTTTGAAACCTCCCAGTGAAAACAGTGTTGCAGACTTACAGCAAACATCCCAAAAGGGACATAAGCAATTTTTCCACACGGCCGTGACGACATGGTGCTATTCCTAAATAAAATAACAATGCAAAAGGGGCAGAAACCCCATCCGAGTAAAGCTATTTCTTATCTATACTTGTTCAGTTGCAGTTTTAGGACACAGACCAGCAAACGGTGCCAAGTTTTCATCTGAAAAGGATGACTAACAGTCTAGACACAATCCTTAACTCTCCCAGACCGGGTATTTTGGAGTCCCACAGTTACAACACGTATTTCAAAGGCAGGCATGTGTCCGTTCTTCACTCTACATACAACTGGCCTTCTGTTGAAAACATTTATTCATAATTTTTAGCTCTACAAGCCCTTCTCTGGTGTATGGTCAGCTGCAATGTCAATGGAAGTGAGGATCTCCAACGTTCTCTTCTCTTTCTATGTTTATTTGTTCTCATAAGTGTTACTTATTTGGCATTGTGGCTGAAAGCTGAGGCCAGGGCACTTACACCGGGGAAGTACCTCTGCCAGCAACCGAAAACTGACAGGTTTCCCCTCTGCCTCCCCCTCAGACTAGAGCATCTCATCATAGTATCACAACCAACAGCAAGGATCCATACCTATTATAGGAGAGAAAAGCCAACAGAAAGAGTAGGCAGGCTAGGACATCCGCTCTGCCTACTATACCTGTTACCTAAAAGGAAGAGAGACACACAGGTGTAAAAGACATATATAAAAAGGCGTGTGCATTCAGGGACTGTTTCAGTGATCCCGGATAACTGCTACTCTTTTAAGCTTTTTCTCTTTCAGTGTTATCCTCCCTCAATATACTGAAATGTTACTTGGTTAGTGTAGGATATGCCCGGCTTTGTCAGCTGCATTTCTCTCTTGGCAAAACAAATGAGTAAGCCAACAGTTAAGTCATTCTTTACTTTCTTATTAAAATATTAATAAAGTTGCAAAGAGAAATGCCGATTTTAGGGATCTGTTTTAATTTTATATAATAAGGCTCAAATGAGGAATGCATCCAACTCCCAGAATTGAGATTTGTTAAAGAAAAATATTAACAAAAGAGCAACTCTTTGGAGAAGACTTATTGTATAGAAATGAGTTAATAATTAATATTTGAATAAACTTTATCACCAAAAAGTGGTAAGAGCGGTATGTAATTTATTCTCTTTCTGAATAATCTGGGTTTATGAGTTTTTTCTACATATTAATTAACCAAATCTTTTTATAAGAAAAGAAATACTGAAGAATGTATACACACTCTTTTTACAAACTATTTCAATATTCCGTTTCACAAAGATCTAAAAATTGCCCATAAAGCAAATAAAAAGCCCTTTGAAATTTCGCCCCTTTTGAGATTACATAATTAAGCTATATTCAGCGCTCTGGCATTTATTTTAACCTTTTCAAGTTCTGACCTAGACAAAAATAAATTCAAAGAGTGCCTCCTCTAAAACCTCCCTTATAATATAAAGCTGTATTATCAAAAGGAGCCTAGCTGATTAGTTCACACAAGACAGCACAGGGAGTAACTGTAAAGCTCACGGCTTTTTGTTATTAAGGTAATCTCTCCTCAAAAGTTCTCAGCCACAGAAGCAGTTTCCCTCACTCGTTTACAAAGGCTCCTAATAAGAGCACGTGATGTCAACGGTATCTCCGTTAACGAGTGTGTTTCTTTTTTTTAAGTACGGAGAGCTAGACATTGCACTTTCTTCTCAAAGACAGCAAGACTCATTTTATCTACAGAAATACCTCCTCACACTAACAGACTATGTCTTTAAATGTTTCCTTTCCATGAACAGAAAAATGCCCGATCTGAGCTCTTGCTCTGTAAACTTACCATGACGTTCATTAAGCTAACGAGTTTTTTCTGAAGGATACTCCTAGCTTTTAATTGAAATCACTATAAATTAACCCATGGGTCATATCACTTCTAACTGATCTCCTCCGGAAGACACACTAATGCTCCCTTCACTTTTTCTCCCTTAAATTGATGACTATAGGAGACTACTGAAGGCACACAACAATGTCCCAGCAGGAGAGCATGGCCTCGTCGAGGTCTTTGATTTCAGAAGACTCAACATTTTCGGCAGCTGAATGACTGCCCATTTACTCCCAGCATCACTGATTAGGACCGTCAATTAGAATTTAGTGCTGGAGCAGAAAGATGGCAAGTAAGAACCCACTTTTTTCTTAATTACTCCTGCAAATTATTTTAACTATATTATATGCTCACCTTTGCTCCCCCAGAGCAAAAAAATCACAAGTACCATATTCCATAAGACTCAGAGGTTTCTTTAAAAAAGAAAAAAATCAAAGCATGCATTTATTTTTAGCTTCTGTGTCACTGTTTTTTTTTGTGTGTCACATACTTACAGCCTCAGTGTGAATGGGATGCACAGCAAAGAACAGCGCCGTGACAAAAGCAAGTCGACAGTCCTTGAACACAGCTTTGTCACAAGTGTACATCAGCACAAGAGTCACTAGACAGTGTAAAATTACATTCACTGCATGGAAATAGAAGGGGTTCATACCAGCCAGTAATATGTTTAACCTGTAAGGAAACAAAACCGAACCATTACTAGACTGGAGAGGTCTTGTAATAGCAGGACATTTTTCAAATACGCTAAATTATGCTTCTTGCCTGATTTGGAGTCTTCTAATGTAAATACTATTAAATTAAGTAGTGAGAATCACTTTGAACTTCTGGTTTATCTGATTAAAGAGAAACCACTTCCCCAGCTTTTAAAATACAGAGTTGAATTTGGCAGCCTTCTTGACAGAGAGACGGGAGGAGCTTGTGCCCTCCCAGTACAGTTTACTGGAGTGAGGCGATGTCTGTGCTTCCTTAGCAGCAAATAACACTGTTCAACATCAGACACATGGCACTTGTCCCGCTTCCCTGTTGGCACCTTCTGCGGCTGTCTCAGCCACGTGGCAGCTTTACAACATAGGTAGTTATTTTCTACTACGGAATAGATGCTTTTGCTTGGCAACAGCCAAGGCAAGGACTCGGTAAGGCGCTGGAGCATCTACTTGGCGTTACAGGCACATTTACTCCTGTTTAACTTCCAAAGTACTTTCACGTACTGAAGGTTAAGCATTTATTTAAATGCCTTGCTGACATCAGGATTACACTAAGAAGCTGGTCTAACAGTTAGCATCATTTTTCTAAGGACATTGATACTAAAGATAAGTTAGCTAACATCACCCTAGACTCAATGAGACAATTAAGGTTCATCATTTGTGTCGATCAAAAAAAATATAAAATATAATAAGTCGTGATGACATTTCTTTTACAGCGTGTATTAACACATTTTTCTGGTCACTGTTTTTTACAGCCAGCTTGCTTAACAGCTGCTGACAGGCTTTGCCTTACATGCAGTGGAAGATAATTCAATTCTCTTTAGAATTAACTGCATCTGTACATGAGGACAAATACACATATACACATGGTGTCTCTATCCCGGGAAGATTCCATGTATGAACAAGGAATTAGGAAGTACTAATGTTAAAAGGGCATTTAAAAAAAACAATAGACAAGACAGCCAGCAAAAAAAAAAAAAAAAGACTTAATCTAAATATTTTGCTTGTAGTTGTAAACATGCTAAAGAGACAATAATCCTTCCTGTTGTTACTAACAGACTCCAGGTCTCCCACGACATACATGATGCGACAGCAAAGCCACTGAGTTGTTGCTACTCTGCAAGCACCATATTTTTTTTTTGTAAGAGAGGTGTGGTGTGGCTGTGAGGGCCAGACAACATATGCTTTTTATAAATACTCTCTACATTCCTTACTCATAAGCAACAGAGTGCTCTATGTCCTGGGCTGCATTTATGAGGCAAATCTAATTTTACCAGACCAGGAGTCTTACTCGTCCATTCCTGCCCGCCTTCCACTGAGGTGTTTGTGGAGGCAATAGCTGCAACCCAGAGAGTTTGGGAAAAGTGAGATTTTAGTATGGCTTGACCTTTCCCTTTGAAGTATGGGTTGATAGCCACGTTTTGACAAGATATCAATCTGTGCAACTCAAGAATACATGAAGAGTTGGGGCTTTTTCTTTTGTTTCCCCATTTCTCCTGCAAGTCACTTTGGGGCAGCAGCACACATCACTTTCCCTCATTTTTACCAGCACAGAATGACAAAACACAGCAAATGGCAGTAACAGACACCCAGCCAGAGTTTCAGCTGCAAACACGCTGCAGCAGTGGGAATCCCCAGGCCTAAATTTTGTTTTCAGCATGCTCTGGGGAGCAAGGGGCAGCACAGAGCCACTTTGCCCCAATGAAGCCAAAGTTCCCGCTCATAGGCACCTGCAGATGTGTGCGATGGCAGGGACCACCTGCAAGACCCGTTCTCTATACCAGTAAATCATTTCTGGCTGTAAATCAGCCAGATGGAGCATAGTCATCACCATCGCTGTCCCCCACCAAATGCCAAAACGTGCTCTGGCAATCTGATTTCTGGAGAAAGCAGATGTGGGCAGGTGAGGACAAGTGCTCAGGCAATCACGTGATATGAACCCAGACACCAAAATGTGAGAGATTCTCATTTATTTATTTTTTTGGCCAAGATGTGAGGACTAATCACTAAAACCATAACATCTGACAACATTCTTGAAAAAATCTTTCATTAGTCTCCATAGATCACGTCTGATCACTTCTCATCCTGCAAAACAGGTCTACTGGCAGGAGAGGCAGAACCTAGTAGGGGACGGATCTTCCTACCCCCATCAGGTCACCTATCCCAAGGGCAGGGTGTGCTTGTCACACCCCTTATAGAGGCAAACATCAACTCAAAAAGGCTTGTAAACTGCAAATTACCTGATGACAGTTATTGAAAACAGTTAAGTAAAAGCATCAGCCTCACAGCTTGGCTATTCCTCTGTGTATTCTTTAAAAAAAACAAAAACAAAAACAACAACAACAAAAAAACACCCACAAACATAGCAGCACCATGGTATTCAGATAAGTCATCCATTAAACAGCAAAATCTGGCTGCAAGCGTATCTGAGTGTATGTTTTAAATACCATCTTTGGTGGTCCATGCACACCAAAAGTGAATGTGTGCAGGTGCTATATTCACACCAGTGGTTTTTGCTGATAAAGCTCTTTGTCATAAGAAATTAGGCCACATGGCAACGAAGGAAACATTCTTTTGTCCTGAAACAATCCCAGCAGAATGATTTTGAAATGCTAGCAGTGGTTGAGTTTATTGGACGTCAAAAGGGTGAGTAAATCTGGGGCTCCAAACAGCTCTAATCCAAATCACGAGGACTTTGTAAAGCTCCCCAACACGCTCATCTACCCATGTAGGAAAAAAGGCAACCTACTACGGGAAGCCAAATTTGTTCCACTGGTGAGCAACTATGGAGCAAATTCTGGGCAAGGGAATGGGAGGGGATGGGTAAACCAACAAAAATAACTTCTCCCTTCTTAAACTTTTAATACCTTCAGAGAGATTTGGTCTTGTCTTTGTTTACTGGCAACAGCACTATCACGAAGTCATGTAGTAATTACACACAGTATACACCTCAGCAAATAAAGAAAGTAAAACAGAGTCAGGAATCCCAAAATTAACTAAGAAGTGGTGTTTCTCAAACATGACATTCATGAACAGAAGCTCTGAGGCAGTAACTGCATTCCGTTATGGGAGGGGAGGTTTGTCTTATGTTTCCACATGTAAACTGGCTCACAAATTGGGAAAATCTTTCATTTTTTTAAGTTGCAAGCCCAAAAGACACCAATACTACCATCATTTCTAATTTGCAGCACCATGTGGTCTGGAAGACCTCAACCAACAAGGACAAGGACAGGGGAGGGATCACTCATTAATTATGGTCACGGGCAAAACAGACTCAACTTGGAGAAAAAAACAATTTAATTTGTTACCAATCACATCAGAGAGGATGATGAGAAACAATGCCAGATCTTAAAAACACCTTCCCCCCACCCCTCCCTTCTTTCTGGGCTCAGCTGGGCTCCCGATTTCTCTACCTCCTCCCCTAGCAGAGCATAGGAACAAGGAATGGGGGCTGGGTCAGTTTGCCACACATTGTTTCTGCCACTCCTTGCTCCTCAGGGGGAGGGCTCCTCACACTCTTCCCTTCCTCCAGCATGGAGTCCTTCCCACGGGAGACAGTTCTCCACAAGCTTCTCCAATGTGAGTCCTTTCCCATGGGCTGCACTTCAACATGAACTGCTCCAGCGTGGGTCCCTCCCGTGGGGTGCAGTCCTTCAGGAACAGCATGCTCCAGCGCGGGCGTCCCACAGAGTCACAGCCTTCTTCTGGTGCAGCCACCTGCTCTGGTGTGGGGTCCTCCATGGGCTGCAGATGGATCTTTACTCCACCATTAATCTCCATGGCAGCAGGGGCCCGCTGCCATCTCACCAGGGGCTGCAGGGAATCCCCGCTCCAGCACACCCCCCCTCCTCCCGCCCCATCTGCACTGACACAGTGTCTGCAGAGTTGTTTCTCTCACATCTCACTCCTCTCTCCCCTGCAGCCACCTCGGGCCTGACTGGCCTAACGCACCTTGGCCATCCCGGCAGGATGAGCTCTGCCCAGCGGGCACCTCGGGAGCATGGCGCTTCGGAGCACTCCAAGCCGCGTTGCCACGGCCGCCATCCCCACCGCCAGGCACCGAGCAGGGGCCCAGCACAGATGGCCACTCGTGTCTTCCCCCTCTCTCCGCTGCAGGTCCCGCATGGAGCAGGTTTTTTCCCTTCTTAAATACATTTATCACAGAGGTGCTGATGGACTCATCCTTGGCCAGAGGCGGGTCTGACTTGGAGCCGCGGAAGCTGCTCCCAGCTTCTCCGAGGGGCCACCCCTGCAGCCCCTCCCCGCCACCAAAACCCCGCCACACAAACCCAACACAGGTATACAACCACCAGCACCCCCAGGCTCCAATAATAGTGCTTTTTATCCGCTTGTACACACAAAGACTCATTAAACCTTTTTAAAGACCTCTTATGATTTAATAATATTGTAAACCATAATTGGAGAGTTTCTCTTTTTATAAGCGTTGTTATTATCCCTGGGCAGCTCTTGTTTAGTTTAATCTGTTTTATTATTTTCAAAAGACTAACAAAAACCACAACATGTTATGAAATAGAAATGCAGAGGATAATAATGGTAATTTGTTATAGCGAGTAACACTTAATGGAAAGTTTCAGAGCATCTCACACCTCATAAAACCCCCACAGTTTTTATAGCGCAAGGCTCACATGTAGATTTATATAAATTAATCTAACATACAAGGGTGGATTAAGTTTCCTGTTATCTTCCCTTCCTTTTGGAATTGCGTGATATAAATTACAAACTTTACGTAAACTAATGCCCGATTTCAGTGCACAGTGGAATCTCCTTATAAACTCCACAGATGCATCTACTGCGTGCCAGGAAAATGAGCATTTGCACTCAAAACAAACAGCGCAGCTGCATCAATGGCAATAACGGTTAAAGCTCTACGTGGAAACAGCTCAAAGATTAATGAAAAACCTGTAGCGGTAAAAAGAAAATAAGCC